ATGAAGACAACCAAGAATCTGGTGGTCAGCTTCTGCATCCTTGTGGTTGTCTTCAGTGTGTTCTCCTTGGGACAAACATGGCGTCCCCAGGGAAGATTCGGGAAAAGATTAAGCCCAGGTTAGAACACAATTAGAGAGATAGATAGATAGAGAGAGAGAGAGAGAGAGAGAGAGAGAGAGAGAGAGAGAGAGAAATAGACAGACATACACACACACATATATATATATAAATATATATATATTCGGAGAGAGACAGGAAGACTCTAAGAGAGACACAGAAATCCAAGATAGAGTAATGAAGAGAGAGAGAGAGAGAGAGAGAGAGAGAGAGAGAGAGAGAGAGAGAGAGAAAACGAACAAAGGAACAAAAGAACTTTTCTCTCCCAATGCTCTACGTAAGTGATTCTATGAAAATATTAAATTCCCTCTATTCTGCGCAGCACCAGTTAATGAAACTGTTTATTAGTAACTACCGTTGTTTTCCCCTCCCGACAACAGTACTGATTTGATATAAGAATAAAAAATTTTATGTTATGTTTAGAATTAATTGTAACTTCTTTTGACTTCCTAGTGCTATGAAAGCTCCTCTTTGCCTTTTATATTCGCATTTCAATATCTCTGTTATTTCATCTATCTTTACATTACTGCCCAAATATGTCTCTGGCTCCACGTCTTGAAGTGGGATACCATTAAAAGACGGGGCTGTGTGGTCTCTAGGCATGGTATCCGCCTTGAGTGTTGGAGGTCCCGGGTTCAAATCCTGATGAAGGCTGGGATTTTTTCACGTGCGCAACAATGCACACGGGCGTCCGATCTCACTACCCAGATACCATGGAGAATAACTAGAAGCTCAAGTCCATTTGAAAAAATCCCAGCTCTCACCGGGAATTTAACCAGGAGCCTCCAGCACTCAAGGCGGAGCATGTGATGCCCGCCTGAGGATCGGAATATCGTGGGTTCGGGTCCTGGGCGAAACCGGACTGTTTTGTCAAAAATGACCTTAGCTCCCAGGTCGACCCAGCTTTGAGTCGGTGCCAGGTAAAGTCCCGAGAAATATAAGCAGCCGAAATGATGCCTACGACATCACCCAACAAGTGCCAATAGGTCTGTAAGATGTAGTTCTAGACCAAAGATTCGGACTTGCACCTTCCGAATGAGAGCATACCATTTCTAATTGTCTGGCAATACTATGCTCGAATACCGTCTTATTTACTGATGTGGGTTCTGTGCCGCACTGAGAGGAAAACAAACAACAAACCCACTGCCTTCTCAACAAGAGAGTCGTAAGAATCGATTAACAGGAGGTTCCTTCAAGGTCGCAGCACATTTGTTTGCTGGACCTGGGGCAAAGTAATCAGCAGTTCTGCACAATGGTTTCAGTAGTATGACGAAACAAGCCTTTTTTTTTTTTTTCAACCAAGTTTCTGCTGAAGAAAAAGAAAATTATCAGTAATTTCTAAGTACCCCGATATTAAGTTTGTTCATCAACTTTATTCTGTGCATTTTCTCCTTGTATCGAAAGCTTTAAGTGTGAAATTGCAAGCTGATCGTGAACACATAAAGATAGGACAGTTGGGTGGTGGGAGGAAAGGGGCGAAGGTTGTGAAGACTTCATTAATGTCCGATGCTCCCTTGGGACACACACGCCAGAAAAAGACATTCTAGTTGAATCAGAAACGCGAACTTAAAACAACAATTGCATAATGACCACTAGAGAATAGGACTGAGAGCAGAAGTGAGTGACACTGGTGACAAATTACGACAGAGATAGAAGAAAGGCCTAAGGACAAATTGTCATCAGGAACTGGGTTAAAGTTTAGGAAACATTCAGAAAGGAGATGGTTTGAGTGAGACAATTCATGCTGTTAATTAATCTCCACAAAGCTTCGGTTAAAAATTAATTAATTACGGAAAAAAACCTGGAAAAAATAAGTGTTCTATACTTGAAAATTATTTTAGAAAAACAAAATATAATTATGTAGGAGTTAAGGGAAGTTCAAAGACCAGTCTTCCTGCCGTGCCGTTAAACGTTACATGCGGCTTGCTGACCAGTCATTTATTCATTTTATCCCGATTAACCCTTTCAATCCCCGTGTGGCGCTCCAGAGTCCTTTTACAGAGAAACAAGAATAGACCCACTGCCTACCCAAAATCATAACGTAAGAGTCGACTAACTGAGAGCTTCCTTCGAAGTCGGAGTACATCTGCCTGAGCGGCAAGGAACCAACAGTCTGCATACAAATAAGTCAGAAATGTAAAACGAATGCACATGCAACATTTGGGTTCTGGAACAGGACTGCCATCCAGAAGTGGATGAACAACCAGAACTATCCGCTAGAGTTTACAGCGAAGAAGAAGAAGGGGAAGAAGAACCCTTTAGATATAATGAATGGAATCCGGTGCAGCAATTGTGCCATCTCTTAACATCATCAACCAGCAAGTCCTTTACAGAACGTCGCTCTCTTCAGGCCTGAAAGTATCCCTTTCAATAGCCAGCTCTCCAACCCCATGTGCTTTTATTTCCAGCGCATCATCAATGTGCTGAATCTATCCTTGCGGAGGTCGACTCCATCCTCGCAGAGATCGACCCCATCCTCGCGGAGATCGACCCCATCCTCGCGGAGATCGACCCCATCCTCGCGGAGATCGACCCCATCCTCGCGGAGATCGACTCCTGCCTCGCGGAGATCGACCCCATCCTCGCGGAGATCGACCCCATCCTCGCGGAGGTCGACCCCATCCTCGCGGAGATCGACCCCATCCTCGCGGAGATCGACACCTGCCTCGCGGAGATCGACCCCATCCTCGCGGAGATCGACCCCATCCTCGCGGAGATCGACCCCATCCTCGCAGAGATCGACCCCATCCTCGCGGAGATCGACCCCATCCTCGCGGAGATCGACCCCATCCTCGCAGAGATCGACCCCATCCTCGCGGAGATCGACCCCATCCTCGCGGAGATCGACCCCATCCTCGCGGAGATCGACCCCATCCTCGCGGAGATCGACCCCATCCTCGCGGAGATCGACTCCTGCCTCGCGGAGATCGACTCCTGCCTCGCGGAGATCGACTCCATCCTCGCGGAGATCGACTCCTGCCTCGCGAAGATCGACTCCTGCCTCGCCTTCCACAAACTGCACCCGCCATCGCCGTCGTTTCCAAGCCAACATTACGTACAATGTGGCCCAAATACTTCAACTTTGGGGACAGGATGCTGTTTAAGAGCCAGTTCTCCTGGATGTCTAACTCGTGTAGAATGTCCATGTTTTTCCTCTTCTTTGATCCATAGTATTCTGAGATTTTTTTTTCTGTAACATTTAAATTCAAAGGCTTCAATCGTTGTCCCCAGTGAGTTGTCCCCAGTGAGTTGTCCCCAGTGAGTTGTCCCCAGTGAGATGTCCCCAGTGAGTTGTCCCCAGTGAGTTGTCCCCAGTGAGTTGTCCTCAGTGAGTTGTCCCCAGTGAGTTGTCCCCAGTGAGTTGTCCCCAGTGAGTTGTCCCAGGAAAAATGCATGATCTCAAGATTTTTACTTTGACTAACTTGCAGGTGCTTTGCCATAGGTTCTTCATGCTGTCTAATCTCTGCATTCAACCTTCGTGTAATGGCTTTTCTCAGACGTCTGGTTATTCTGGTTTATTTAGCCCATTTGTTTCCCCTTGCAGTACCTCCTGAGAGCTGGCCTACAGTTCAATACCTTCTCCTTTTAATTAAAAAGATATAAAAATCAAATAAAAAATAGATCAGCGAGCTTCACGGTATAACAAACACAAATAAAACGTGAACGTTGCGACTATAGAGCCTTCATCAGCACGTACATAAATCAAACAAAACAACACTAATACACAAAATCAATAAACTGAGCACAAATCATGGTCTGAAGAGAATGGTGAAGTGAAGAGTGACTGGAGACTCCGGTCGACGTAAAAAAAAATGCGTAAAGAGACTTAGCCTCCCTACCCCCCCCCCCCCCCCCCACCCCCCCCCCCCCCCCCCCAACCATATATAATAGCTCTTTTTAAGTATAAACTATTTATTTGATGATTTTTGACATTTATATTTTTTTTCTTTAAGACATATTTATAGTCAAAAAGAATATAACATTGATAATAATTATTGTGAATACTATTATTATTACGCATATAGGAAAGTCTAAGTTCCAGACAACCCCCTTATCTCCCAAGGGTCTCTAGAAAGCTGTAAGGAGTGCTCTGGTCTACCGTTTTACAGATCTGTATTATTGTTGTGCATACTGCAGGGCAGAGAACTGTTCATTCCCATACTTCAGGGCAGACAACTGATCACCCCCATACTGCAGGGCAGATAACTGTTCATTCCCATACTTCAGGGCAGATAACTGATCACCCCCATACTGCAGGGCAGATAACTGTTCACCCCCATACTGCAGGGCAGATAACTGTTCACCCCCATACTTCAGGGCAGAGAACTGTTCACTTCCATACTGCAGGGCAGATAACTGATCACTTCCATACTGCAGGGCAGATAACTGTTCACCCCCATACTGCAGGGCAGATAACTGTTCACCCCCATACCGCTGGGCAGATAACTGTTCACCCCCATACTGCTGGGCAGATAACTGTTCACCCCCATACTGCAGGGCAGATAACTGTTCACCCCCATACTGCAGGGCAGATAACTGTTCACCCCCATACTGCAGGGCAGATAACTATTCACCCCCATACTGCTGGGCAGATAACTGTTCACCCCATACTGCTGGGCAGATAACTGTTCACCCCCATACTGCAGGGCAGATAACTGTTCACCCCCATACTGCAGGGCAGATAACTATTCACCCCCATACTGCAGGGCAGATATATGTTCACCCCCATACTGCAGGGCAGATAACTGTTCACCCCCATACTGCTGGGCAGATAACTGTTCACCCCTATACTGCTGGGCAGATAACTGTTCACCCCCATACTGCAAGGCAGATAACTGTTCACCCCATACTGCTAGGCAGATAACTGTTCACCCCTATACTGCTAGTCAGATAACTGTTCACCCCTATACTGCTAGGCAGATAACTGTTCACCCCTATACTGCTGGGCAGATAACTGTTCACCCCTATACTGCTGGGCAGATAACTGTTCACCCCTATACTGCTAGGCAGGTAACTGTTCACCCCTATACTGCTAGGCAGATAACTGTTCACCCCATACTGCTAGGCAGATAACTGTTCACCCCTATACTGCTAGGCTGATAACTGTTCACCCCTATACTGCTGGGCAGATAACTGTTCACCCCCATACTGCTGGGCAGATAACTGTTCACCATCATACTGCTGGGCAGATAACTGTTCACCCCCATACTGCTGGGCAGATAACTGTTCACCCCCATACTGCTGGGCAGATAACTGTTCCCTCCATACTGCTGGGCAAATAACTGTCCCCTCCATACTGCTGGGCAAATAACTGTTCCCTCCATACTGCTGGGCAGATAACTGTTCCCTCCATACTGCTGGGCAGATAACTGTTCCCTCCATACTGCTGGGCAGATAACTGTTCCCTCCATACTGCTGGGCAGATAACTGTTCACCCCCATACTGCTGGGCAGATAACTGTTCCCTCCATACTGCTGGGCAGATAACTGTTCACCCCATACTGCTGGGCAGATAACTGTTCCCTCCATACTGCTGGGCAGATAACTGTTCCCTCCATACTGCTGGGCAGATAACTGTTCCCTCCATACTGCTGGGCAGATAACTGTTCCCTCCATACTGCTGGGCAGATAACTGTTCACCCTCATACTGCTGGGCAGATAACTGTTCACCCCCATACTGCTGGGCAGATTTCTGTTCACCCCCATACCGCTGGGCAGATAACTGTTCCCTCCATACTGCTGGGCAGATAACTGTTCCCTCCATACTGCTGGGCAGATAACTGTTCCCTCCATACTGCTGGGCAGATAACTGTTCCCTCCATACTGCTGGGCAGATAACTGTTCCCTCCATACTGCTGGGCAGATAACTGTTGCCTCCATACTGCTGGGCAGATAACTGTTCCCTCCATACTGCTTAAACGCAACAAGAACAACAACTAAAAAAAGAAAGGGGGGGGGGAGTTTATGAAGATGACGATGCTGGTAGGGATAATAATGCTGCTGCAAATGATGATCATAATGAAGAGATGATGATGACGATCATGACGATGATCATAATAGCGTTAATAATGATTTTAGTGATAATGACAATGGTGATACTGACGATGAGGATAATGGGGAGGGCGATAATTGTGTGCACAACTAAGAAAAAATTTAGTTAACATTCACACATAAATTGCTTTGAACGGAATGCAAGACTGCACTTAAATATGGAAAGAGGTTGAAGCACAGTTCAAACAGCTGATTGGCACAGTGCTACATACTGCTTACAACCTTTGCGCTCCGCACATCCACATCTGTTTACATGCCACTCCCTAAAGTACTGCTCCCTGTCATGCCAACCATAGATGATAGAAGCTGGGAGTTCTGGTCTCTGGGTATGGGTGGGCATAAACGTGTTTGTTGAATGGGGGACACAGTAGAACGAAGTCAGTACGGCTTTCAGTTGAACTACTTCTAGAATGACGATGGAGACAGCAGCTGTCAGAGGGGCACACTTGCATTGCTGACAGAGCAGAAAGCAACTTACGTTTCTTTAGTGAATAATTATAAAATATAGTAAGAGAAAAGGGTGATAAGGAACGAAGAAAATACATAAATTAGTGAAAATAGTAATAATACAAATAGTTGTAATAATACAGAAGGCGTAGGAAGAACAATAATCTTAATAGTTCTAGACATATTACCTTGCGTTGGTTTTGGACAGTGGTATCAAGAAAGCCGACCGTCCAGAGGCAATGGCAAACTACTGGACGTAGATTTGCCCAGTAAAACCACACAACAGCCAGGGGCTGTTAGGGTTGGTTCTGAAACGTCCTGCAAAGGATACGCAACTAACCTCTAGACATAATAGCATTATTGACATCAATAGTTTATGTCTTTGGGGTCAAGCGGGGAAAAATGTTTAACATACCTTTTATCAGAATAATTTTTTTTTTTCTATGATTATCATCAACCAGTGCCTTGTTGGGTTGTGTAGGCGTTCATGTATCTCCGCAAGTCTCGGTCTTTGGTGCTCTGGATCAATTCCACTGATGGTATTCCTCCACGCCACTGTCTGAAGCCATAGACCATCACTTTTCGTGATTTACCTCCACCTCTTCTACCAGTGATATTTCCAGTCGTCTCGTTATGTTCCAGTGCTACTTTTCTCATCATATGACCAAAGAACATTTTTTTGTCTCCTTCTAATTGTTGTAATAATGTTTTACTTTTATTAGCTATTTCCAAGCAATCATTGTTAGTTGTTCTTGCAGTCCTAGGTATTCGCAACATTCTTCTCAAGAAGTTGCCTCCAAAATCTTCCTAATTTTTTTGTTCGTATCAGTTCACTAAATTATTTTTAATTCTACACCAGAACACTGTTTTTTTTTTTCCACAGGGAGCAAGCCCCCTTCCAACTTTGCTAGTTAATATGATAATTACCAGCGACATATTGCATTTGCTATAAGAATATTAACGCTAGCTAATCAATAATTCAGTCTTCTTCTTCTTCTTCTTCTTCTTCTACTTCTTCTTCTTCTTATTCTTTTTCTTCTTCTTCTTCTTCTTCTTCTTCTTCTTCTTCTTCTTCTTCTTCTTCTTCTTCTTCTTCTTCTTCTGCTTCTTCTTCTTCTTCTTCTTCTTCTTCTTCTTCTTCTTCTTCTTCTTCTTCTTCTTCTTCTTCTTCTTCTTCTTCTTCTTCTTCTTCTTCTTCTTCTTCTTCTTCTTCTTCTGCTTCTTCTGCTTCTTCTGCTTCTTCTTCTTCTTCTTCTTCTTCTTTTTCTTCTTCTTCTTCTTCTTCTTCTTCTTTACATAGGGTCCTGCTTCGTACTCTTCTGGCTGCTTCAACCAAATACTCATCGATTTTGGAAGCAACGTATTAGGCAGCGTGCTAAGAATAAGAGAACTGGGAGTCAAGATCGGCACAGTCAAGCATGAGAAGCACACCGGATGCACACGAAGTCTGATTAACCATTGGAGGACTGGCCTTATATGATGAATATGTTGACAGGGGAATCTGAGCGCCTATGGATGTGTCTGGAGTGCTGTGAGGGCAATCTAACTCACAACTCCTAGAGGCATCGTGGTGCTGTAGTGTTTCTCTGATGTTATGTTCCCATCTTGCTTTTTAGTCTACCTCTTGCTCTACGTCCAACTCCTCTTTTCGTATATGGCTTGTGCGGTAATGATTCAGTTATGTTGAGAAATGAACCATCAGTTAGATTGGCTGTTTCTGCAACACTTGATAGTAAAATGCATAACAAGCTAAATCTCGTAAGGAACTTTAGGAGTGAGTAAACAAAACAAAGACATGAATAGATCATCACGGTCTAAACAGAATGGCGCATTCAGGAGTAAATGGGTAATCTGGCTGGGGCGAGACGAATATACAATCAGACACCTACCGGTACCATTAAAATTGGAACGCTACGCTTGCTGCTGAAGATAGGGTTGGAGCGTTTATGGCTATGTCCCGAGTACTATGACGTCAGTTCTTAACTGATAACCCATAGCTCATTTCTGCTTTTATCTTTTGCATCCAGCAGACAATGTCCAGGTTCCGGATTTCAGGTTATCCTTGACGAGTGAGATCCCGGTTGAAGCGTTTTTCTCCAAAGAAGACTTCTCACAATTCAAGTCCATACCTCGGCTATGCTCAGTATCTGGAATCAAAGGATATCCGCTTTGTGACTTGTAAGTAACATGCCCGTGTTTCTTTTATTGTTGTTGTTCGTCCATCGCCAGTGATGAAGACCACTTTTCATTAAGATTGGATTAAAGCTTAGTTTAGTTTGTAAAACGGATCAACATTATGGCACTAGGGTAGTAAACCATAAGTGCTCCGCTCTACTTTTAACTTAAGCTTGAGTCCGAAGAGCCTAGGATACTTTTCACGTGGACTTCTAGTATTTTTACCGGGTCTGTATGCGATAAGATCTGATTCCCGTGTGTATTGTTGCGCACGTTAAAAATTACTTCGCAGTTGGAAATAAAATAAAAAGAGTAGCCTAATCGCGCTGCCCGGGCAAAATTTGGATTTTAAAATCTACCTAAAGTATTTCAGGATTCCTATCGGTGCAACAGAGTTAATGCACTGCGCTAACAATCCTCGGACTCAGGCTTTAGTTCGAAGTAGAACGGAGCACCGATGGGTTACTGTCCTTGTTCCATAATGTTGATCCGTTATATAGACTGACAATAATTATGATGATGGTAACGATTACCTCCCCCTTCCCAAGTCCGGCTCTCTAGCGTAGTTGGCTAAACTGGATTACGCGGTGACCAGGTGACGAACTCCTTGTGCTCCGGGTTCACTCCCGGGGTAGGCAGAAAAGCCACATTTTCTCCCAGATTTACGGTATTTATAAAGGAATCAAGGCCGAAAGATTGCGATATCCATAATACCGAGCCAAAGGGTTAACAACTCATGACTTCTGGATACTAAAAAAAAAAAAAAAAACTCCCCCTTCCTAAGATTGATGTCCTCGAGCAATTTGATACTATTAGCATGAAAATCTGCCACATGGCTTCTCTTAAACACATCGGGTCGAGGCGGGTCGAGGGTGGGCGGGTCGAGGCGGGTCGAGGGTCGGCGGCTCGAGGCAGGCTTGTTACGCAGACGGTGCTTTGAGTTATTGTAAAACTCTCCTGTGTGTGCAGTTAACTTCATTTTCTTCCTAGGGCATACAGGCGTTGTTGGTAATGAAAGAGCTGACAGACATGCAGGTGCTGCATTAATTGAAAATGGCGGCCCATGATTCACACATACATTGTCATTGTTCTTAGAGATATAGAATGTTTTTACAATTTTGGAAGCAACGTGTCCAAATCACTGCTAAGAATAAGAGAATTGGGAGTAAAGATCGGCACAGCCAAGCGCGAGAAGCACACCGGATGCACACGCAGTCTTGTTTACCAACATTGGACTAGCACTATTAACTGCATGACGGTGATGTATAGGTTGAGAGGGGAATCCGAGCGCCTATGAATGTGTCTTGGAGTGCTGTCAAGATAATCTAACTCTTAAACACAGCCTCAGAGATACTGTTGTCATGACAATCTGCTACGTGGCTTCTCTTAGACACAACCGCAGAGATACCAACATAACCAGAATTATTAAACATGACAAACTGTCACGTATTCATTTCACTAAAACATGACACGGACAACTCTTTCAAGCTTACCAAATCAGCTGCCACAACGTTGGATATGTTTGTATCCATTTCATGACATTCTTGTATGAGATGTTCCTGATATAACCGTTAGAGCTTTTCTCTGGGCACCGTAAAGTGAATTCCATTATAGATACTGTCATGTAGAAATATCATGTTGAGATGTGAAGCCTAGTTAGTAATCCCTGTTGGTTCTGCAAATATACATATCTGATGTATGTTATCAGTTTTAACATAGGGATGTGTATCATTGAAACTCACTTCTTCTTCTTCTTCTTCTTCTTCTTCTTCTTCTTTCTTCTTCTTCTTCTTCTTCTTCTTCTTCTTCTTCTTCTTCTTCTTCTTCTTCTTCTTCTTCTTCTTCTTCTTCTTCTTCTTCTTCTTCTTCTTCTTCTTCTTCTCTTCCACCTTGTACCTCATCGAAGTGTCGGGGGGAGATGTGATGTACGTTGATGAGCTCTGCCAAGAGCACTATTAAGACTGATGTTCATTTCTGTAAGGCTGTTCTTAATGCCATCACTCCATATTTTCCGAGGTCTTCCACTCGCTCTATACCCGTTGTAACGTTTTAGTGTGGCTCGCTGTGGCAGATAGTACCAGGGCATTCTTGTTAGGTGTCCAAACCACTTTATTTGTTGTTCTTTGATGACCTGTAAGACTGGCTTTATTCCTAGCATTCGTCTGATTTCGTGATTTTGTATTCTGTCTTTCCTTGAAACTCCTGCAGCTCTTCTAAGGCATTTCATCTCTGTTGTAACAATTTTACGTTCATTGGAGGATGAAAGTGTCCACGTTTGGCATTGATAGCATATTGTTGGCCAAAAAATAGTTCTGATAAGATTCACTTTAGTACTCCGAGGTATCTGCTTGTGTGTTAACAGGGGAGATAGTTGCCCCATTACTTGATTAGCTTTGGCACATGTGGAGTTAATTTCTCACTTCTTCAAATACAAATATCTGAAGTATTTTGTCAGTGGCAACTCAGCGTTGGGAGTCATTAACTATTACTCAAGTCTTCAAATACAAATATCTGATGTATATTATAAATGGCAACTCAGCGTTGGGAGTCATTGTCTGTTACTCAAATCTTCAAATACAAATATCTTATGTATGTATATTATCAGTAGCAACTTAGCGTTGGGAGTCATTGCCTGTTACTCAAATCTTCAAATACAAATATTTTATGTATGTATATTATCAGTAGCAAACTTAGCGTTGGGAGTCGCTGACTATTACTCAAGTCTATAAATAAAAATAAATGATCTATATTATCAGTGGCAACTTAGCCCTGGCAGTCACTGGCTGACACTCAAGTCTTCAAATACAAATACACCGTGTATGTATGAATGAAGTTCAACCCCGCTAGGACCACACAACGAGCAGTAAACACCCGGTGGCACAAAATGCCACTATTCGGATCAGAATCACCCAGGCGCAAGTTCCAGAAACCATGTTCAACTGTTAGGTTGTATTAGGGTCCCCTCAACAGCCGGGGTGGGGCTTTAAAATAACAAAAAGAAAACTGCGTCCTATTTTGGGACGGCAGCGTAGGTTTTAAACATGTTGTATCTTACCTGTGGCAAGTTAGGGATGTGGGTCATTGACTGTTGCTAAGATACACCGACTAACCCTAACTCTAACCCTAACTCTAACCCTAACTCTAACCCTAACTTTAACCCTAACTTTAACCTTAAACAATTATAATCCTAACTCTCACCGTAACTCTAACCCTAACGCTTTCTCTAACCCTAACTCTAACCCTAACTAACTCTAAACTAAACTCTATCCCTAAGCATACCTCTAACCCTAACCCTATCTCTAACTCTAACCCTATCACTAACCCTATCTCTAACCCTATCTCTAACCCTATCTCTAACCCTAACTCTAACCCTTACTTTAACCCTAACTCCAACCCTAACTCTAACCCTTACTCTAATCCTAACTTTCCCCCTTAATTTAACCATAACTAATAACCATTTCTCCAACCCATAACACCCTTTGAATATTAGACTTTTCAGGGAGCTCCGTTATTTACATTGCTTAGAGTGACTTAAAATTAGAGCACCAGAAAAGGTACGTAACACTGGATTACCCTTCCAATCTCTCCATATAAAATTTGTTTGAGGCCTAACTGCGCTTTAACCATGTATGTACGTTCTATTTTAAGTATTAGTATAAACATTGCATATTATCTCAAAAATATTATTTTATGTCTTTGAAATTCAGCACATTAAAAAAAAATCTTTATAAGCAAGATGAGACGTTCGTGCTTCGGCGTTGCGAGTCCGACTCGTAATTCCAACGCACCGCGATTCAAACCCACTGCTGGCTGCGTGGACTTTTATCATAGTATGGGGCGTCGCAGCTCGACCCAGCCTAAAATGGGTACCAGGGTGTATTTCCTGGGGAAGTAAAGACGGCCGACGTGATGCACATTACCCACCTAAATCCGATTTGTCTGTAAGAATATGGTTACTTTTCTCATATGCCCGATGCACCTAAATACGTGAAAAGAGATCGTTACTTTCTTATTACGCAAATAAACAAGGGTAGGGCCCAGTGAGGGCCCCCCCCCCCTCTCTTTTACCCTTTTACCCCACCTGCCATTAGAATATTAGTAAAGTTTGAGAGCCTCCAACCCTCTCCTACACCAACTCAAATATGTTTTCTTTCTTACAACATTCTTCTTCTGTTGGTTGGTCCAAGTGTTGTAACTGTGTGGTGCCTATTTACAGTCAGTGACTCAGTTAGTCAGTCAGTATCGTGACCTCTGCTGAACCTTGTTCCCATAACAACCTTCCGGAAAACTTCTCGATCACAAGCAAGATGTCCCGCGTCCGAGACACCCATTTTGAGATCATCTGCCACATCCTGCACCCATCTTTTCTGTGGCCTTCCTCTTCCTGTTTTTCCCAGGGTTATACCCATCCATTATTGTTCTCTTCAAACTTTCGTGACGTTTCAAGTGACCAATATATTTCAATTTTCTGTGTTTTATCGTCTTTAATAGCCAACCTTCTTCAATATTCAGTTCTTGAAGTGTGGATGCATTTGTTATTTATTGTTTACTCATGATGTTTCTTTTAGAAAAACTCATGATGTTCTTAGACCCAGACACACACCCCCCCAGTTTATAACATTTGTATTCAAAGTCATTTATGCGCCGTTTAGCTTGTTTAGTAAAAGTGTCCAGGTCTCACAGGCGTATGTTGCAATGGGAAAGATTCATGCTCTTAGTCTCACAGGCGTATTTTGCAATGGGAAAGATTCATGCTCTTAGTCTCACAGGCGTATTTTGCAATGGGAAAGATTCATGCTCTTAGTCTCACAGGCGTATGTTGCAATGGGAAAGATTCATGCTCTTAGTCTCACAGGCGTATGTTGCAATGGGAAAGATTCATGCTCTTAGTTCTCACAGGCGTATGTTGCAATGGGAAAGATTCATGCTCTTAGTCTCACAGGCGTATGTTGCAATGGGAAAGATTCATGCTCTTAGTCTCACAGGCGTATGTTGCGATGGGA